TAATTTTAATATGTAAATATAAATGAAATTTTATAATTAATAAAACAAAGTTACCAAAATTTAAATTAATTTAATTATTTAATACTGTTTTATTTATCTAATGTGTAAATTATTTTTAAATTATTGTGGTATCAAATATCTTAATTGATAACTAAAATAAAAAAGAATAATAATCAAACCCTTGATAATTTTAATATAAATCAATATCATAAATAAAACAAATGATACCATTCTACATAATAGTAAATTTTAAAAATAATAACTTAACTTAAGTTAATTCATTTTACTAATCCATTTAAAATAAAACAAATTTAAAAGTAACATAATAATTATATAGAAAATAATTTATTAAGAAAACCAGTTTTAAAATTGAATTAAATCAATTAAAAGATATTATTAAAAACAATCATTCCCTAAACATAACTCTTTCAAATTGAAATATTGAGAACAAAACGTTTTTACTTTTTTTTCTTGTTTTTAATTATTGAACTTAAGCCACCACAAGAGGATTAATAATTTTTCTTTTTTATTAGTTATTTCTTTTTATAACACAATATACATATTTTTATAATAATTAAAGAGCATATAGTGTTAATAAAGATTTTGTGATATAAATCAGATCAATTTATTTGATGGATGAATCAGGCTTAGTCTTTCTCTAAAATATTATTCTTAGTAAATATGCAATAAGCATATAAATATTCCCAAGGCCAACTTATAATACATATTCTATTCTTATACATCAGGAATAATTCTAAGATATATTTGAAATTTTATAAAATTCAGCATACAATCAAATAAATAACTAAAATTTTAATATTCTCTAATTTTCTAAAACAATAATATTTATTTTTCTGATTTTAGATAATTCAAGCGTGCATCATTCTATATTCGAAATAATTTCACTAATATTTTTACCACCGTAAATGAAATCATTTTAAAGGGTATTGGGGTTAGATCAAAAGAGAAATAAACAAACCCCCTTATTTCCTTTGATTCTAAGAAAACTAAATTTAATTTACAATTTTTTGAATAATTTTGCTTCAAGTGATAAATATTTTTAATTTATTTTCTATATAAGGGTAACATTATTAATTATTATTTATATAATTATTAATACTATATCTATCAAAAACTTTATTTACTAATATAAAACTGATGCCTTTAAGATGAGACACTAAAAATTCCCAAACTAATCAACTATTCTAACAGAGTCGACAATTTTCAAACTTTCAATGTTATGAAAAGGGCTAATCCTCAGTTACCTTTCCATTAGC